AAAAAACCGTGTGTCCGGGTTCAGTCTCCGGAAGGAGTCGAAAACGTTTAGGGAGAGGCTAAGGTCCYTTATCATCCGCTCGTCCTCYTCCACATAYGCCGGGGCCGGGGAGGGGATTTTCCATYTGTCCATCCARCGGTCCGGGGCTGCATTATAGTCGCCTGCAATAATGATCGGGACCCCGTCTAGGATCTGTGTTTTAATTTTTTCAAAAAAGGCTCTTCTTTCACTCACCACGTTAGGGGCATAGATACACAAAATACATACAATCTCCAACTCCAGGGTGACTAAAACCGACACCCATTTGCCCTCTTCCTGGTCAACAGCCCAGTACACCGGGTCTGCTCGGGATTCGGGAGGGAACCAAATGGCCACCCCCGCACTCCCGGGTCTCGGAGCATGGGCTCTAAATGCTTTATGAGGCCAAATCATTTTGTGGATACGGTCATGCTCTGAGGTGTCTGTCAGGTGGGTCTCCTGGATACACACGATGTCTGGCCCGTCCCTGCCCCCTACCCCTCTCATCAGGTCCCAGATTGCGTTCCTCTTTTCCTCCTTGGCCGAAGCTAGGCCGTTTACATTTAGTGACCGCAGGTCGAGATCTGCTGCCCTTCGAATGGCAGATCCTATCTAGCCTATCTACAATGCTGCTGACGACGTCAACAGCTCCCCCGAAGTACGAGCAGATCGGCGACTGCTGTTCGCCTCAAGCACCAGGTATGTCTCACGCTTCACTCACAACCTCGATCCCCCACACAGATGCCACGTGCACCCAAGGACCACCATGCGCCCCATCCAGCATCTCGCTGGCCAGCTCCGCTATGGCTGCCTGCATGTGCCCTGCTGGCCCGTGAGCACGTGGGCGATTGCCTGCCAGTAGCACAGCAGCGCTTGCATAGCAAGTAGCAAGTGCCCGAATGCCGCATGTGGAGGCAGGCACTTTCTTTTATCAAAGTGCCCTGCCTGAGGTGAGCTGCCTGGCTGCGCTGGGCCCCTGCCCAGAAGCTTCCGGTAGGCCCCATGTGGCTGAGACCCTGACCCAGGGAATCACACGCAGGGCCTGGGGTGGTTACCCGTGCCCAACTGCCAGCGGCCTGTGTTTAGTCCACCCCCCGTGTCTGGTCCAGGGCCTGCCTCAGATTCATTTGGAAAAAGGCAGGCAGGGCCTGGGCTCCCCAACCAACTGGCGCTGCACAACTGCCTGAATTTCCCAGCTGCGTCCAACCTCTCGTGCCTTGTCAGGGCCGCCTTCACTTAGAGCGGCCATTCTGGCTGGAACAGGGCCCAGTAGGGATTACTGAGGCCTTGAGCCTTGCACATGGCCTGCTATTCTAGTGCAATTTTGTAAGGACTCTTGTGTTGGTGCTTCGGCCAATTGTGAACTTGCTGCTTCGTTAGTCTCACCCGAGTGCCGCCGGATGTGCGCAATTCAAAGCTGCAAAATCTTCAACCGTCAACACTTTCATGCTTGCTGGGGGTGAGTCATCGGGACTTGTACTCCCCAGAAAAGAAGGGTATGTGTGGGATTGTGTTAAAAAAAAAAAAAAAAAAACAAGCCACCTGTGCATGAGAAATCCAGTCAGCAGTTTCTCCAACAGCAGCAGTTGCAGGGGGGACAGCAATTATACACTAAGTTAAACCCAGCTGGTGCTAGTTCTTCAGACCGCCCGCTTTTATATGTCAAGGGACGCTGGTCCCGGTTTCCAGCAGGTGTTGCTCCCCACCAATAGATGGAGCCTCCCCGAGCAAAAAAAAAAAAAAAAAAAGTCCTTTGGGCTATCTGGTTGAGGAGGTGCACTTACGAATGGGAGGGTGCCAGCCTAGATGGACCAGAATCCACAGATAACAGATTCAAACAGGCATCGCCACCAAATGGGAACAGACAAAAGAGAAAATCCAACATCTATCTTCACGTATCAAAATTCTCAAACATATTCAGAACTTTAGTTGCTGCTGGCTTGGGGGAAACCAGGGGGGTAAACTTGGAAAGCTTGAGTGGAAAGGGTCCA